TAATCATATTTAATCATTTAATTAATTCACATTAATTAATTCTCCCATGTGAATTGTTTTTATTGAAAACAACAGAGTCTGGTTTCCAAGTAAGACAATGGCTTAGAACACTGAATGCCATGTCACAGGGTCTCTGGTGAAAAAGTGTGGGCAATGACAATTTAAATAGAGTTTTATAGTGATGGGGCAAGGTAAAAAGCAATAGATAGGACAAAGAGTCCGATTTCTTGGCCAGTGGGTTACACCTGTCAAACAGCAGGAAAAAGACTAAGAAGGAAATGTGGTTATAGGTATAGCTAAGTCCTACATAAGTGTGATAAAGATCACACGAGCACATATGCCCTCAGATCCATGTTTTTTATGCCCATACCCACATCAGATTCCAAGATTAGCTGTGAGGTGACACAGCTCAACTGGTGCTAATTACAGCTTCTATTGTGAGGCTTACACTTTCTATATCAGCAGCCCTGACCACTGTGGTGGGATTGCACTGCTTGCTTTGTATCAGGAAGTGTTGGCTTTGCATTAGGCACTAAACTCTATTCTACCTCCCAAAGTCAGTGCATTCACCTCAGTTTGAGAATTGTATAAGGAGGGCAGACTGTGTCACTCAGTCTCAGACTTGCTTGCATCCTGCCGCCCATGCACTGTGAAAATACTCTTTCACATGTGATTTTGGGATCGGGATTAGCAAAATGATCATGAGGCAGAGCTGCAATTCAGAGCAGTTATCCAAGCAGATACAGCACTCTGAAACAGCTCAAAAAGTTCGCTGTAAGCTCTGTGACCCTGGTTTGGGGGAGGCATTGGGGTTGGCAGGGTATGTTTGTCATGTCATCCCTGTAGGCATTCTTCCCATCCACAGGTAATCTCCAGAGCTGTTACTGAGGTTTGCCAAGTTAAATAAGACCTACCTCATGTGGAGGTAACCCACTCCAAAATAGATTTCTCCAAGAAGGCTTTGCCCTAAGTGCTTGAGTGATTACATACCTATAAATAGCTCAAAGAGATGAGATGCAGATAAGCGATGACCTCTCCTCAGGAGACAGTGTCCCACTAACTTGATTCTCATTTGTTGCCTATTAGGCCTGGTAATGAGGTAGAGCATATGGTCATTTTAAATTTGTTATGTGATGTAACCTCCTTTTTTGGGACACCTCAGCATGTGTAGAAGAGATACATGTCATCTCTTGTATAGGACAGTCTTTCAAGACAGCACCATTAGCAATGCAGAAAATTGTTTGTCAGATTGCTTTCTTAAAAAGAAAATAAACTTGTTGCCCATGAGGAGTCCTTTGAAGTGTGGAACTCAGGCTCCTGGCTGACATCCCTTTCCTGGCCGACTCGCTTTGTGCATGACTGCAGTAGCACATTGCAGTCCCACGGGACCTGCTTTTTACTCCCTGGTAAACTTTCCCCCTTTGACATGGGAAAACAGATTCACAGTGATAGAAGGCCAGGACATTCTGCATACTTAAAATCATAAGGCTTTTATAATTATTTTTTTCTTTCAGTCAAATGCCAAAAGACTCATGTTAACCCATGATTATAAAACTTGTCTTTGATGGCTTGTGTATTTGCCTTGTAGCACCTCCAAGTCAAATATTGTTTAAATCCCCATCAGTTAGCCAAGATATATGGAAGAGACAAGGTTCAGGAGGCCAGCAGTGAGCTAACCGAATTAGCTGCAAAATAACTGGCTGTCACGTTGCCAGGGCTGATGCACATGGATGAGGGGAGCTGTCAGGGGACTCAGCTTCTGCATCCCACTGTGTCATTTGGGTCCCCTCTGTCATGCCCTGCAGTGTGCAGGCCTTTGGTCTCTGACCACAAGCCACCTGCTGCTGCCTGCTCTTGTGGCCTCAGGCTCTGGGGAAGCACTCACTGCCTTGCAAATGGAAGGGGAGAATGGACAGACCTCGGTGCATGACCGGGAGGCCACACAAGGAAGCTAGGGAAAGGAATTTAATTACTCATTGTTGCTGGCAGGTGGATTTTTTAAGTGGCATCATATTTATGACCTAAGACGACAAACTGGTCTGACCTTCATAATGAATTATGAAGTGTTTTCATCGGGATGTATCCGCTGTGCTAGGTTTAAAAAACTCCTGGAATTCCTTTTCTACCTTCTCCATCTCAGGCAGGTAGTCTGACAGAGGTGATAGTTCATTTTTCTCCTGGCTCTTTTACTCCTTTTTTTTTTCTTCCTTTTTTTCCTGCAAAAACTGACTATTCTATGTACACTGACTATAGTGTACAAGTGACACTGATATTATGTTGAAGTGATGCCACAGTGAATCAGATGCCTTTTAGAAACACTTGAATTTTAAGAGAACAGAAAGAGTAGATTTAACAAAATACATACACACACACACACAAAAGAATAACATATGAAGAACAAAACTAGAAGAATCTAACATCAAAGGGAATATCGTCTATTTATGTCTGTTTCAATGCAGACCTCAGGCCTGGGGTTCAAACACCCTGAAATAACAAAAGGTAAAAGTTATAAAATGTGTAATGTAAAGTTGTTGAACTTTATCAGTAGCTTAACTATCTCTTGCATGTCTTTGAATCAAGAACTGGAGAGAATGGTGCTCTGGAGTAGATGTGTGACCCAGTGACAGATATGGGACTAGAAGAGATCTGTATGATACAGCCAAATCCCAGTTCTCACCAAGTCCTGCTCAGGCAGTAAACATTTAGAGGAGCCCTCAACTCACTTGCTGCCATTTACCACAAAGTAAAGAATTCTTTCTAACCTACAATAAGAAAGTTTGGACCTACAACAAAACAAACAAAAAAAGAAATAAAAATATCTCTGGTGCAACAGAAGAGAGCAACAGGGACTGAGGATCTCACCAGTACTCTGCAGACACACAACTACATTGAATTTATGAGGGATTTATTTATGTATTTATTCACTTTTTTTGTTATGTCCCCATTTATGAAATAAAATAAATATAATATTATAAGAATATTAATTTAATAACAGCATAGAATACTGTGATAAATGTTATGATATATAACACCTTATATATTAGATATGTGTAATATTTGCTTCTTCTTCAACCATCCTGAAGAAACCCAAAATGCACTTAGGACTACATATACCATACAGGATCATACACCATACAAAAGTATCCTTTTTTTATATATTGGAAGAAACAAAAAGCATACTTGTAAGTGAACAAAACAAGGTAACATACCCTGGGCTGAATATCAGGGTGAGAATCACCAAGTGAAGCTTCACTGAATTCCTTAAATGAGCAAATGTAATAATGAAAGGTAGTATTTCACTACAAAACATTATTCTAATGAACATAAGAAGCAACATGGTCTTCACAATCACACTTATTTAGTTTAAAAGAATTATGATAACCAAGAAAAAGGTAAAATATTTCAGCAGTTGGTATGTCAGAATAAGTTCAAAGAATCCTATAAATTGTTTTGTGGGTGTGTGAGTGTCTATGTGTAATCCCAGATAAATGTATGCACTTTGTCACCCAGGCGTTCTGAACATCATGTACTACTCAGGAATCAGAAATGTACAGTACAGTCAGAGAGGGTATAATAAGAATGTTGTTCAAGGTAAATAAATACTGAAATTTTTATGAGTGAACTTTTCTGAACCAGTATATGGGAGCTTGAGAGGAGCTCATAAAAGGAGGGCAAAAGCCAGAGAACAGATGAGGATGAGAAAATGATATGAGGCATGTGGCACAGAAAGAAATATGAAAACAAGCACACCTTTTATTTGACATATATTCAGAAGAACATCCATTAAAGACATATATCTATTTTAAGATTCAGGAAACTAAAGCTCTGCTCTTGTGTTTATAGTTATTCTCACTATCTGTCCCTTGAGTTACAGCCTCATTAAAATTGAAATTATATTATTGTGTTCCAGGTGTTCTTTGTAAATTCTTAGATACAGAGTAGTATAGATTACACTGATTTATTTCTATATGATATTGTTACTAGGGTACATCCAGTACTCTACATTTGCATGAAGCTTCTGCATGTAAATGTTTTACAATTAAAAAAAAAAAAGATGATTGGAAAAATAGTGAATGCAAATAGGGCCTTAGAAAACACTACACATGCACAACTTCAGGTGGAAATTAATAGAATATTGCAGTTTAGATTCAAATTTAAACAAGCTCATATTAATGACCAAAAAGTCAGACTCCACAATAAAAATCTCAGCAGTCCATATCTACTGGTCAAGCAGCCATTCAAAAGCAATACAATTATTATAATAACACAGAATATAAAGTGTGACAGGACTCCCAAATCACTTATCCAAAAAACAACTTATGTCATTCCTGAGGTGTCCCAGCTGTTCACAGAGCTGCCAGGGATGGAGATTCAGCAGTCTTTCTTGGTCAGCAGGAACACCAAAGCACATCATGGAGATTGTTAATGTTTTCAAGCTCTGAAATGGACCCGTATTTTGAACCTCTCCAATAATAACAGTAATAACAGGCCTGTTGGTTGTTTTTGCAGCTTGTAAGCAGAGCAACACAACAACTCTGGCCTCATAACAAACATGCTCCAGCAGTCACCAGCTCCAATGCTGCTTCCTTGCACAGTGCCCCCCGTCTGCTCCAAGTCACACAACGCGCATGTGCATCTCTAGTTTCTTCTCAGCAACACCAAAAAGTGTGGAAGCAGTTTATGAACTCACATGCCAAACTATTCTTTGGCTACTAAAACCAGTCCTATATCAGAATATTCCTCTGCTGAGGTCCTGTACTGCAGAAGTTATAGCCAAGATTCTTACTATGCCTCCTGCTACCAGTAGCAGGGGAATCTTATACCCTGCCTACTGTGAGCTTTTTTTTTCCAGCATTTTTGTGGATGACAGTGCCCAACAAATGGAAGTAGATTATAAAACTGAAACTACCACTGGAGGATGGCATTGCAACATGCAAAACGTTGTAAAAATGAAAGACCACAGGGGAGGATTATCAGGAATGATGTTAGGAGCCACTCACCAGACTGACTGACCAGGCATAGGGCAGACTTCTCCTGCACTGTCCTGCAGGGGTGTAGGACGCACTGGGATGTAGAGTCCTGATCTGGCCTACATTCCTGGCCTCCACTGATGGTGCTTTTGGGGAGGAGTCACCATGGTAGGTTTGCTCAGGTGAGCACCCTAATGAAAGAGATATCCTCCATTACTTGGCAGGGTGGAGAGGATCTGGCCCATCGTTTTATTTCTATCAGAGTCTCATGGAGCTGGAGGTATTCCAGTGACCTCCTGGTGTGCTCCAAGTTTAAGGGTTTTCTTAAATTTCATCTGCCAGGTGTCTGCAAACAAACAGGGGCAGATCCAGGTGATGCCACTCAGAGCTGTGGCTCTTGGCACCTACCATTCAGTTTGTCAACATTTTTCTGTGGGTGCAGGTTCTGTCATTTTTTATGAAATAAGTTGGAAATACTAATCCTGAGCAGTGAGGGGCTGTAAACAGGTCACTCCACTCCATCTGGAGAAAAAAAAAAAAAAAGAGGAAAAAGATTGGACAGAGAATACTTTTATATTTCATGCCATAAAACAATAAGGATAGCACTTCCAAGCTCAATAAACAGCAGAATAGAAGCTGTTCAGGGTTGTGCTAATGAGCAGAGGTAAAGCAAAGTACTGCACAAGGAAAGCAGAGGTGTCAGGCTACACCACCCTCATCTCCTGGGTTTGCTGTTTCAGTGTCAGGCAGGACTAAATGTCAGCTTAGAATGGAAACTATATCACAGTGTTGCTAACCATCTTATAAACCATGCTTGTGGGTGATCTTTAACCAACCACTGTTTTTTATCTTGTTTAGTAATGTTCAAGGCAACAGATGTTTTTTCTTTTTTTTTTTTTTGCCTCGCAAATTACAAGTGTAATGACCTCCTATGAGTGTTTCTGCCGCAATTGCTGCCTGAGTGGCTAAATCTTGGCTAAGTTACCATGATACTACAAACATGACATGCAGTAACCCCTAGCCTTTCAAATCCCAGGCCACTGTAGGCTTGGAAGGTCATCCAGGCACAGCCAGAACCAGTGACCCCAATCCTCCCCAGTGGGATGGCTCCGATCCACTGGTTGCTGGCAGCATGAGAGGGCAGCGTGCTTGAATGCTGGCTGCTCTCAGAGCACCTTTAGAACCTGGCACCCCACCCCGCTGACGGACGATGCTAGTTGCTCCAAGTGTCGACACAAGGTGAACCCACAAACTGCAAAGCCCAAAATGTCAATCAGAGAAACCTCTCTGACCCACAGAACTTGCAAATGGTTAATAGCATTTGATGGATACAATTTTATTATTATTTTTTTCATAATTCATTGCAAATGTTAAAATGGTAAGGCTTTTATAAGGCTTTTATTACCCTGTGTGAGTTTGGCTTGGTGAGGTCAGTAGGCTTGGATTTTTTTACATAGCTCTTACATTTTACAAATCATTTTTATCTTTGTGTTTTCTCTTTTGCTCTTACTCATCACTGAGAAGGTGATTGACATTACTGCTGTGGGCTTCTTTTTAGGAAATGGGCTCTCAATGACACACTGTGAAAAATATGGCACCAACCTTCATTTGGAGAGACTCTGTTTTATTCCCTGTTAGTATCACGCCACACCATTGTGATCAATCTTTGCACAGAAGGAATGACAAATGTGAGGGGAAGGTGGAGATTGGGAAGGAGTCCCCAGTTTCTGCATGGAAGACACAGGCTGGCTTTTTCTGATTCCATCCTGATAATACACTTCACTGGTCATCACAGAAATGCCTGTCTTCCAGGGAGATCATTAGTAATAGAGAGAGAGTTAGTAATAACACTTTCTGATGCTGTCAGACCACTCTGCAGTGTTAAATTGTCTCCAGTCATCTCGTTTGGGAAGACTTTTTTTTTTTTTTTAAATTACTGTCTCTGGAACAATGCAGTATTTATTTCTTATCCCAAATAAGCATACAGGGAAAGGGAAGAAGAAGGCAGAAATGATTTCACAGATCCAGAAGGGAAATGAAGGGCTATCCGGGAACTTGAGGTCAGGTGGATACAGGCTAAGAAGCTCAATGAATCAATCTGCAGCCTTGCTGACACTGGAGATCTCTTCAGCATCTTTTACCACAGCTTCTATTTCACATATGCAGTGATATTTACACTTCTCAAAGAGCAGAAAACTTTCTGGTACTCTATGACATTATATTCCATTTCAAAATGTTCTAAGGCAATATTAATAAGAAGTGTAGTCTCCAGCCAGGTTATCCCATCACTTTTTTTTTTCTACATTCTCCTTCTGAGATGTTTGATAGCAAACACTAGATGGAAGAGAGAGATAAATACATAAAAGAACAGTCTGTTGCAAGCCTACACTCCCCTCTTTTCAGGAAATTAAATGGAATGTAATTTAAATGTTTGCATTAAATATTAATTATTTTAATCAGTAATGAACATGTTCAGACTCTTATAGTGAATGGTCAAATGGAATTTTAGAAATATAGAAAAGCAGAAAAAAAAAATCTTGGTACAGCATTCTTTCACGTTGTTTTCTGTCCAAAAGATAATTCTCTTTTAAGAGTAACCATAAATGGCAATAAATACCACAGGTCATACCTTAATCACTCTATGCTAAAAATCACCATTCAAACATTAGGGATAAATAGCTATTTACATGATGGCTTTTTGGAAGCCATAACCCAAACAAATGGAAAATTGGTATGCAAGTTATGTGAGCTAATTTGGAAGTAAATTTGCAAACAAACATAGCTACATGCTGGTGTACTTTTTACTGCTGCTTGCAGGGATAGACATCTTAGCAGCCCACTGTGAAATATCTCTGTTCCACTGGGTTAACCTTGGCTGATGACCAGAAGATGGCTAGTGCTTCTTGTTTATGAAGTTAACATGTAAAAACAAATGTGGTCTTTTTACTTGTTCAGGACATGTGTTGTGCTGCCTTCATGTCTCATGACTAAATATGGGTGGACTTAAAATAAGCAGCTGAATGAGGGTAAACAAAATATTCAGGTGATCCAAATCTGTTACAGATGGACTGTAAGCTTTAAACAATTTGGACATCTGTTTGTGAGAGTGTTGTAGAGCTATTGAAAATGACCATATAGCTTTGACTTAAAAGTTCAATAGTATATTCATTTAGTCACTCATTGAAGCAATCCCATGTCAGTATAATTAAAAAATATGCTGTATCTTCACTCCATAATATTTTTCTGAGATGTTTAATCAGTGATATATCTGTAACCTACTTGACTAATTACCAGTATCCATCCCCTGCAACTACTAGTAAAGAATAAAACCTAGAGGCAATTGAAAAAGAAATGCAGTAAAATATGAAAGTAGCTGTTATAATTAAATGATATTTTTTTTCTTAGTCTTTTGGAAAAATAAAACAAAACAAAACACCACCAAAAAAAAAAAATCACAGATATTGTAGTTAACTTCTACTCAAAGTAAAAAAAAATGCTTTAATAATGACACTAAACTTACTGATATGCCAGTTCCTTCCCATCGCTAGAAAATATAAATTACCTTTGTGTCTAATTATTTTCCAACTCTGAAAGGGGAACCCAATGTTTTGAAACCAGCTGATCAGCCGGCCTGGCTATGTTCTTTACAGCAGCTGACCTGTGGCCTCCCCCTCAACTTCTTCCACTCACATCTTTTAACATCTTTTGGAGTTTTATAGTTTGTGACATTCTCTCTGCCCTATTTCATCAGTGAATCTCTCTAAATTCAAGTGGAGGCTGGTGTAGTCCAAGGCTGAAGCATGCTGAGACTTGAAGCTCTCTTGCATGTTCAGCTGAAGGGGCATGATAAAACAGATCAGTGTTAGTATAAGGATGCAGCGGTAACTGTAAGAAGAACAAAAATGGAAAATGCCCAACTAAAGAAAGGGGAAAGCAGAACTTGCCAGTACTAGCAGGCACATTTCTAACAGCAGAGATCAGAAATGTTTATTTCCTGAGGCATGCGTATTACAAGGACCTTTCTTGGTAATACTTTTGTGGGTGGATAAGAGTTGGAAAATACCTTCTTCTGTTGCAACAACATCCTCTGAAATAATACAGTGCTACAGCACGTGGGTCAATCCATAGAGAAGAATTAATAAAAACAAGCCTAATTTATTTGTGGAAATAAAAGGCATAGGTCCTCCCTGCCCCCTGCTCCTGACTGACACTGCCAAGTCTTTGCACTGCTCCGTCTCATCCTTAAGTCTTGGAAGTAAACTCAGGGATGAAAAGCTTGCCTTTGTTCCCTGAATTATCAAAGGAACTATGATGTTTCTTTCTCATACCAATCATTATATAACAATCATTAAGTCAGCACAATAAGTGCTGGGCTTTCATGTCTTTGGGTTTATGGCACATACACAAAATATTATTGTTATTATTACTATTTTTAAGCATACTTTGTTAAGACTACAACAACCCTATGAAAATAACAGGCACTCAGTCAATGGCTGTAACTACTGAAAGCTTTGTCTTGGGAATCTTCTGTATAGCACCATGTGAGAAAGGTAACACAAGGAAGAAGGACAAGGTGATAACCCTCAACATGGAAAGAAGAAGCCAGAAGCTTTGTTCTGGTCCTGCTTTCACTGGGTTTGTGTTATATTGTAGCTCTGTTGGTTTTGATGTGACTAGTATCAAGCACCCATGAATCACCTTAGGGAGTATGCTGGAATTTAGCATACTTGGTACTAAATTTTACTCAGAAAAAAGAACTGGCAGATGTAGCTTTATTTTATGTATATTTAGCTATTGTAATTGAAAAGAAAATGCTGTAAATAAGATTACCAAAACATACAGTCTCTTTCTCAGGTGTTTTGTAAAAGCAGAGGCAGATTTCTTCAGGGCTCTTCCCTAGTGGCAAACAGAAAAGCTTATCTCAACTGGATTTTGATTTAATCTGATTTTATTTTTCTTTGTGTTTTTACTATTGTCATGAATGGAATTGCGGATCTGGAACCTTTAAAGTCTTATGGAATGTGTTAAGTTTGATGCTACATGCTAATGATTATTCCTGTCAGTACACAGACATCCTTACAGATAACCAACCCAACATAACAGTAACTATAAAAGCTATGGTATCAGGTGCCTGTTCCATTCGTTTGCATTTGTCTTATTTTACAAATGAATAAACTGTGGCCAAGAGTGTCAAAAAGATACCGACAGTTGCAAAAGAAGTCAACAAGGAATTGAAATTGCTGTTTTACATTCCAGCTTGAAACGTAATGCTTCCCTTTAAGCAGACAAACAAAAAAATTAGCTTGTGAAAACCAAGAGATCACAAAGTTCAAATGGCTGTGTTCCACGTTAGTAATATAAGCCCTGCAGTTCCCACACATTCATGATTACACTTGATATATCAAACTAGTGAGTTCAGTACATTGAAATATCTTGGTTGATCCCATATTTTAGTTCCCAAAAGTCTGACCTTGCAAATCCTCTTTTGACATCAATGTGTAATCCCCGAGGGATAACAAAAC